GTGTGTGTGTGTGTGTGTGTGTGTGTGTGTGTGTGTGTGTGTGTGTGTGTGTGTGTGTACCCCTGTGTTGCATTATATAATAGAGAGCATCTTCTCTTTATGTGTGTGCCTGTAATTGCAAATGTGGGGTGTATTAATGACAGCATGTCACATATATACACAAACATACACACACACAAGCCCCAAGCCCTGGAACTGAATTAAATTAACCCAAATAAAGCCTGGTGCGCGGAGCACAGAACAGCTAAAAGCCTGAGCTGCAAACTGAGAAAAGGACGGGAAGCACGAGTGCAGTAAAGCAATGCAACATTATTCCGGGGCTAATAAAGAAAAAAAAAATAAACATATAAACAAAAGCTTGTGAGAGTTTTTCCAACATTGGGYGCAGCAGCTAATGTGGCGTGCCCCCCCTTTAAGGTTTTCAGGGATGAAGCCAGTTCTCAGATCTTTGGCCGGCCTAGATAGCAGCAGCAGCAGCAGTGGTGGCGGCAGCACCCATTAATGCGATTACAGCTTTTAGTCAGAGATTTTCAGGGCCAATTTTCTTCTGAGGCGTCATTAGTTTGTCCTCTTTTCTTTTTCCTCTTTTTTTCGTATGTCGGCAAACAAACGTACACATTTACGCCCATGCATCTGTCAAGAGTATGCAGTGAAGCGTACAAAAATTCTTATACGCAGGAATCRGAAAAGCATCTGTTTCATCTGCAAAGTAAAGCCGAACCCAGTTTCTATGCAGAAAGAAGACAAGGGAGGCATTAAATCTCAGGATGGCAGGGGTGACACGAGCAGAGGTAAAGGAAGAAAAAAATCTTGCAAGTTGGTCGATTTTTGGATCCAAATTACCACCCTTCCTCCTTGCACCTGACCTGTTCACACACTCACACACCCTCATACAAAAAAACACCATAGCAACAAAATTATTGTCACTCAGCACTTTTGTTTATAATGATTTTGTCATGGAGGGTATCTGTTATGGCGTTCTATTTGTTGTAAAGCACAGTTATCGAGCTTCTGCAAAGAAAAGAAAAGCATGATAACAGGCGCGGTTAGTCTTTGTCTAAGAAATGCAAAGTTTTGTGTGTGTGTGTGTGTGTGTGTGTAGTTGGCAGGACTTTTTTGCATTTTAAGACCCTTTTGATTAGTGATGCATGATGTGGATTATAAAATGGAAGCTTCTCTCATTATTCTTTGCAATCAAATCGTGATTCCTCTAAAGACCCTTCTCTAATTTAAAACCCACATTTCTCATCTACTTAGTGGCGTATTGCCATCACTTTTGGCTTTCATCTCCTCACAGGTTCTCATATGCCGCGCTTAACATGCCTCTGACTTCGCACATCTGCTTAACAAACCTTGAGGTGCTTCTCAGCACCTCAGCGCAGCAGCTTCATTTCATAAAGTCACCATTTATTAAACCTCAAGGCCAGGCATCAGCAAAAGCCCATTGAGATATTGAGGTCATCCTGCAGGAGGAGGGAAGAAAAGATTATCAAAGACTTAGGGAAGAAGCTGGGGTTGTGTCTGGTGTCATGTTGTGTTTCAACAGAGGTAAGATGGAAAAAGCCACCTGTTCCTGTGGAACAGCCTACTTTAATATGCCATATCACCAAGATATCTGGTGCTCATTGCTTTCAGTCCAACCAWTTTTTACAAAAAGTGAACCCCAACTATTCAACTTTTTTTTCTAAAACTAAGTGTGGCAGACATTCGCAGATGCCAAGTTTGTTTTTTCCCCTTCAGCTAATGGTTCTTGGAATGTGTTTGTTCTTGTGTGAGTTTGTGATACAGTATGTGTTTGTGCTTTTGTACTCTTCAGTTGTGTGTGTGTGTGTGTGTGTGTGTATTGGTAGGCAGGATGAGCATCCCTTCTGTTACCGTTGCTGTCCCTTCATTTCACGCTCCGGCAGCTCCGTGTGAATCCTCATCCCTTGGCTCATTATCAGCGCTGTTCAATGAACGCGCATCCCACCAGAATGCAGGCTAAAACCGAATTATTATTCCAGTATGGGGGTCAGTGCAGACGTTGTGGCTCTTTTTGTTTTGTATATTTATTATTTCTCGCTTTAGAAATGAGTAAGCAGAATGCAGGACACATCCCTGCCGCAAATTACTCGTCGAGGTAGTAGATCTTCAAGCACCTGAGCTGAGATTGGTGAGCACCAGTGGAGCGTCTAGTGTTCGTTATTGGATGCTCATTGTGCTCTTCTCTCATTTCTCTCGACAGGGTCCAGAGTGCACGGAGCAGAATTCGGACTCCTGCCGGACAATATTACAGTGTTGGAAGGCGAAAGTGTCATTTTGAGGTAACTTTTGAATTTTGCACCTGCACCAACTGATTAGAAAGTGAAAAACATGTTTGTCCTTCCACCACCTGTCATGCAGATTTAATTGCCAGTTTTGTATTTCATAACGGCCCACAATGAGCCATACTTTTTCACCTCTGTCTTGGCTAATTTAATGAATAACTACGGAGTCATACAGACTTTGAGAAATAACCTTGTCTCAGATGTAACAACAGAGCTGGTCAGCTCAGGGGGTGGATCTCCTCTCTGTCCAACCACACCTACCTAACTGTGAGTGATAAAGTAGAAATCACAGCTTTTGCTGGCTCCCAACCAAGCAACAAAAAGGCCAACTTGCTTCTTTTTTCTCCTGCATGCGACATGGCCCGACAGTACACTCAGCATAGCAAGAAAAAAGTCCAAGTCAACACTTCTAACATCACCTTTAAGCCTGTACACCTCTGCAACAAATATGAGCAAATTTTGTTTTGTTTTTAGTCTCTTTTTATTCTGAAGCCAAGAACAAATGTGTCAATAGTTGTCAGCATCAGCAAGTCTCTATCCAAGTTGGAAATCAAAGAACCAGAATCCATTTTGTCATCAAGACGTGTAGCTTGAAGCTGTGTTATTGATGCTGTGGAGTTGTGATTTAGCACTTTAAAGCCACATAAGCCCAGACTTATAGATGATTAAAACCATTTCCTTAATCTGACTTTTTTTTCATTACAACGTCAAGATAAGATTTATTTGTAGCAACACTGCATTACTCCCATTCAGGACCGGCCTTGTTGCATAGGCAGTACAGGCAAATGCTAAGGGCCCTGCCTATCTGAGGGGGGCACCACAAATGGGGGACACACACGCGCCCACACTGGAGGCCGACTTGTCCCCCTTCCTTCAGCGCTTCAGCTTCACCCTTCCCGCTGCCCAACCCCCSACTCCCTGTCCCTCTGTCCCTCGTGTTTTCCTACAGTGATCAATTTAAGTGAGCGATCAGCTGTTCATTTTAATTTGTTCATTTAGTTAATTTCAGATAACTTACAGACTTATTCACTGGCTCAAAAAGTTTTTACTTTTGAAATTATTTCAGCATTCAGTCGGTGTTTCTTCTCATCTCTTCATATGAATCATAATTAACCATTAAACTGCTGGAAGAAGTGAGACTCACGTGTCTTACTGCGCATGCCTGATCAGGAAATCTTTGATCCACCCAGTGGGTCTAGTAAACAAACTGCAAACGTGCATTAATCCTAAACCATTTACAGCTGGCTTGAATGAGCTGCCTTGTTGAAGCTGGTCTGATGTTAGAGCAACAGATCTCAGCTGTTTACACGTTGAAGGCTTGTTCTTTTTTTTTTTTTTTTTTCTTTTTTTTTTTCAAACTTTTATTTCGAACAGACATTAAAACAATTAAAAAGAAAAGAAAATAGAATGAAACAAACTTAAGAAATAAAATGTAATACAAATTATTTTGCCCGTGTGACATGCAAAATTTTATATTTTCTGTTCGAAAAGGAGCAGGTAGAAGATACATCTTATAATGTCCTGCCCCTTTCCTACTTGTCAATGTATTATCAACTAACTTTCAGAAAAAAAAAGAGACAACTTGTTTCCATTTTACATCGTGTTTAACTATGTAGAATTATTTTAAGTTCTATTTATCTCATCAATTACCTTATAGACTATTGAACATTAAACATCTAATATAGCATATTTTGAAATGAGCTCTGCTTTAATCAGTTTTTTAAATTGGTTTACATTTGTAATTTTTTTAAACTCATCATTCAATCCATTCCAGGCATTTACTCCACACACTGATAAACAAAAACTCTTCCTGGTTGTTCAAGCTCAGCTTACAGCTGATATCCTGAATTTAGAAATCTGATTTTCGTGAAACAAGCCTCTGGTTTCTGAAAAGAAAAAAAATACAAAATATAAAAATATTTATTTGGTATGTGAATGTATGTAAACTGGCAGTGAGATTTAGTAAACTGCACAGGGGCACCACCGAAAATCTTGCCTGGGGCGCCAAATTGGCTAGGGCCGGCCCTGCTCCTATTTGTAAATGTAAATTCTAGTTGCTCAGGTAAAAATCATTTACTTAARAGGTTTTTTTTATAACTTAAAATTTAAATAAAACATGTGGTCTGTGTTGGTCAGTACGCAGCAGTCAAACAAAAGATCCATAAATAAATTTAATTTAAATATAAAACCACTATTACCCAAGTGGCAGAACTATGTTTTTAATGAGACAACGCTGTTGTGTTGGCTTTGATGCGGGCCATTAAGATGAAGCCCATTTGATGTTATTATGATGCTCATTTCCTCTGGGCTTGCAGTACTGGAGCAACGGCATCAGCGCATAAGTGATTAAATTTAAAAATAGATTATTAGACCATACGTACACAGATAATATTTTTTAACGTAGGGAATTCTCACTAGTTTGTTTCTTTCTGTTACCTTTAACTATTAGCAGACAACTGCGCCTAATCAATACAATAAAGCGTTTTGCTTTGGATTCATATGTGGATTTTTAACATCAATGTTTTAAAGACATCTAGGCTCACTTGGATTGTGTTTTTGTGTGCTGCTGAGTCACGGTTACTGACTTGGCAAATGATACCCCTCAGAGATATTTATCCAGGTCATTTCCGTTAAACATGAGGACTTCAAACGCATCTCGTCAATAGTTGAAGCCGGTTAAGGACATCTAGTGGCCAAGTCAAGCACTAGATGTCACAACTAGGCAGACATTTCATGTYTTATTTTGAATCAGAACAAATCAAAAGTAAATTACAGTGTTTCAGCACACCATAGGTTTTTTAGTTTTCATTGTTTGACAGATTTTTCCATTTGTTGCTAACTATAATTTACGTACAAACAGCCAGACTAGAATTGCAGGCCAAATTCATTTTCAAAGTTTGCTTGCAGACAAAGAAATTTACCAAGCTGTGAAGAATGGTATATGACCACTTTTCATTCAGCGTGTTGTTGCTCGCAAACTGTTTTCTTGTTTGACCGAGTTCAGCCGAATGTGTTATAACCTGACCCACTTTCTCTAGCCGTGTAACAGGAATCGACACGTAAAAAAGTTTGCTTGACTTCATTACCCAAGGGTTTGCTGACAAATAAACAAGAAGACAGCGAAAAGTTTGTTCGGAGAGACGGAGAAATGCAGATTCAGCACAGAGGGTCACTGAATGGCTTGATGAGAATGATAATGAGGCAAATCATGTGCTGTTACCTTTGCAGTCACAGCATTTCTTTCTAAACGAACAGAGAGCCTCACTAATTCTTATCAAAAACACCAACAGGGGGAATATTTTTAGAATAATAGAGGTCTGTTYTTTCACTGAGCTTGAATATTTTTGTGTAAAATCTTTTAAAATGCTGGTTAATATGCTGACTTCCCTTCTCATATGCTGAGGTGGGTAGAAACTAGTTATATTAAATTACATTTACATGAGTAATTTTTCTAGAAAAAATGTACTTTTAAAAGTAGTTTTACTTTACTTAACTAATATTATTATGAAGTATCGCTACTCTTGAGTAAAAATTTCTGAATACTCTACCCATTTTTAGAAATGGGTATAAACAGTGGATAATACTCTTCCACATTTCAAATAAAAATACGTCTAACAAGTAAAACTCATGAACCAAATGTTTTTGAGCCGTCATTACTAACAAACACTATATTTTAAAAGTATCCTTTGTGCTCTTGTTTGAGATTTTTTGTCATTTTCTTCCTCCCAAAGCCCTCTGCTTTGTGAGATTTTCTGGCCATCTTACGCAAACTCTTCCTTTGGGATCACTGCAGATTTTTAGTGACATTTTGACAGATGAACTGTGAGGGCCACGGCTAAATCTTCATCTTCTGCTTCTTTTGGGAGTTTCAAAAATACTTTTAGATGTGTTAAGGTTCACCATCTTTTTGTAGAAAACATTTTTTATTTTATCTTTATTTTATTCAAACAGGCTTTCTTGCTCAATATAATTTGCATTTATGCTTGTTCCCACTGTGCTACAAACAGCAGTGGAAATATTGAACCATCCTCTTGCTAAACCGTTTGAGAAATGGACTTTTTGTGACATTATGCAGTTTTTTCTCCATATTTTTGCTCATTGTGATCAGAAATGTTTTTAAACAACTCCACAGTACATCTTTTCAAAATGCATAATGTTTGTTTTGGTGTTAACAAAATCTGAAGCTTAAGTTTGACAAAGTCTTTTACTCCTCTGCTGAAATGCATAATACACCCCAGTATGCATCGGTTATGCAACGGCACTTTTTTGGTTGTGGTACTCACAGGGTATGTACATACCTGGCACTTTCSTGGTACAGGGGAACAAGTCATGTCATAATACAGTTTACGTTCTTAGGAATTAAGTACATAATTAGTATGAGTCAGGCAAGCTTCATGTTTATGTTTAATACATCACTACTATTTCCATAAAATGACATTCTTAGATACATTGTGAAGGGAAGAAAAAATGTACCAGAAACATGTTGTCTTCTTATAGCCTCCTGAATTTTGGCTTTATGTATATTAATCATTTTAAATTCAGAGAAACTGCTTTGATGATTTAATGGCTAGTGGTGGTTAGAACAAGGTTTTGAGGAGTATATTTAAAGCTTTGGCTCTTGCGATAATTAATCATTTTTAATAACTGTGCAGAGGCCACTCACATCCAACAAGTAAATAAAGATCAAAGACCAAGTAAAAATTGCCCGGGAGTTTAAAATTCTTGAGATGCACAGAGTTTAGAATGATGATCCCATTTAAAATTGCTAAATAAAGATATATGGTGCAAGTTAATGTTTCATATTTATCTAAATGTAGTTAAATTGACCAGAAATGTTTACCTTTTTGCCAAAAACAAACTCTTTGTTGAATATTACCCATCCCTTAACGATGTCCTGGAAAACCATGTATTATTTTATAAAGTAAAACAGTGCATTTCACCTGCTAAATACTTTCTGTTTTCTCACAGATGTCGGATCGACGAGCAGGTGACCCACAAAGCCTGGCTGAACCGCTCGAATATCCTTTTCACTGGAACAGATAGGTGGTCGCTGGACAGGCGCGTGACGCTGCTCGGCAGCAACAACAGTGATTTCTCCATTCACATTGAGAAGGTGCAAATCACAGACGAGGGACCCTACACCTGCACCTTCCAGGCCAATAACAAACCCCGCATCGCCCACGTCTACCTCATCGTCCAAGGTCAGCCGCTGTGTCGAGACCGAACTGCACTTTTAATAAAGCTGCCTATTCCAGTCTGTGGTTTTTAAATTATTAGCCGTATGTATCCAGAGAGAGTAAATCTGATTGCCTTTGCAGTCTAAACAAACAAATATATTTAAAAAAAAATAGTTAAACATTTACAGCAGGGACAGGCAACTGGCGGCCCGCGGGCCACATCCAGCCTGCAGCTGACCTCCGTCTGGCCCACCCATTTTTGACTTTTTTTTTATCTTTTATGTATTTTTCAGGAGGTAGACTATCTGTCACACAACATGAAGACAAACATGTTTAGGTTGTTTAGAGATGCTTTTGGCTAACGTGTTGCACAAAGCTAAATATTAGAAGTTTACTGAAGTCACACGTAAACAACAGGGACTATTCACCAGAACTACCACACATGAGTCTGCACACAAGGTGTCAACTCCTGAAATATATTACATTRCTGCACTGTATGTTGATTTAATAAACACACACACATATGTAAACATATTGACAATGGCAGCTTTATTACATTTGGATAAATGTGCAGCACTATGTGGTCCTCTGATTGTCACAACAAACATAGTGGCCCCTAACACCATTTAAGTTGCCCATCYTGACTCACAGTATTGTGCAAAAGTTTTTCACCAAAACTGGTTTCTTTAGATTTTCGTGTTAAGGAGTAATCTTTTAAAGTGATCTTGACGATAGTTTTTCAGACATCTGAAGGTCATTCAAAGTTATTTTTTAGACTTTGGCTGCTTTTTCTGTCATTTTCTGTCCAACTGGTGTGCCTGATAKCATTACATGTTTGAAGTTTGTGCTTCAGAAAACTAGGAAAGTGGACAAGACAGGGACAAAAATGCCGTGCCTGAAAACAACAGATAAACAGTTGTATTTTTGAAATTCCAAAGAAAAAAATAAAACTTTTAGTAGGCTGATACATGACTTGAGCGATGCATCATCCTTTGGTTAATCATCAACTCCATGCCACATTTTCAGCCAATAGCACTTTGAGAATTGCTTTGTTTCTGCCAAAATACTATACTGCCAAAATACTTGGTTATTTTTTTTATATATTTTTAATAAATTCGACCAAAGAAATGAGAACAAACTTTGTTGTAACTGGGTTCCCAACAAGCCATTTGTGACAAAGTGTGTAACAATAACCTTAAAAATGGTACTTTTCAAAGTTGCCTGTTATGATCACCTCTGGCTCATCCCCTGATTTTAAAAAGCCTTTTTATTCCTGAATGATCCACAGTTCTCTGAAAATGATCAGGTGCTGTATACTRGTGTAAAAGCAGTCAAAGTCACCTCAAAAACACTTTGATAAACCTTCAGAGAGCCTGAATAGCTATTGATCCAAACCTTTGTAAAAGATTTTTTTTAAGGTCTGTCTCTTTGGAAACTAAAATAAAGAAATTAGAGACAAGTTAAAACTTTTGCTCGGTGCTGTATATTTYGATGGGTGATTTATGTTTTCTTTTAAACATGATTTGTTTTCAGCATTAATGTTTGGTTTACATGGAAGCTCAGCGAGCTTATATGCACAGCTATATGAAAGGGAAAGCAGGTGGGAAAACAGCTTTCTTATTTTTCCAAGTTTGCTAAATTTACATAATCTGCAAACAGAAAAGTTGGACAGATTCAGTGGATGAGAATGTGCTTTGAGAGGATGAAGAACACAGGAGGCTGTCCAACTGTCTGACTAAATACAGTAACTGACAGTGGAGGATCACGACTGGGGCTCAGTCATCAAGTCAGCAGCTGAGTGAGTGAAAGTCTGGCTGATCTTGAGTGACACAATGTATTGATGCCAGACTGTCAGGAAGATGCTGTTCAGAGCCTATATGTGTCTATTTTTAGCATATAGTTTGTTGTAGTGTAAAGTCAAGTTACACATCACTAGCAGAAAGAATTAAACAGATTTTTTTACAATCTTTAATAGTTAGATTTTACAGAAATCAAAACATAAGTTGGCTCAAGGTATTCATTTTAAAACACATTTATTGGCAGATTCTAGAGCTTATAAATGTTGCCCAGTACAGTTCTGAGCTGACTGCATCTGAAGCTTGATAGTACACAAAATAATTATACCCTCAAGTCATTGCATCAAGCAGAAGCAGCACACCAATCTGTGCTTTATCACCACAAGACTTCAACTCCAACATACAAAAAAAAAAGGAGGATCTTCGGTTGATTTCGTGCAGAAAGCAATCTCAGAGCCAAGCTCATTAAAACAATGATAATAGGTCATTTAAATTCAAGGGCCATCATGTTATCAAACGAACTGCACACGTACTGCACCATCTCTTTGAGTTCGGGGCAAAATGGTGTTCGGGGGTCATTTGCTTAAAATATATACAAGTACAAATTCCCACGACTTTGACGAAGGTTGTTTTTCTTCTTCTGCAAAGGTCAAATTAAAGTAGATGTTAGAAGGACAACATTTGGATGCTCGTTTGCAGCAGTTTATAATTTAGTGTATTTTAAGTAGATGGTGCACCGTACTGTTGCACACTTCAGTGAGCACCGAGACTCAGATCATTAATCAGATGATTGCCAGTCTGTCTAAAACACAGAGACCTGAACACCTTAATAAACTGCAAGGCTAGGCCTTATCAATAATTTATGTTGTGAAAAGGTGATTCTGTGGTCAGATTTTAATGGGAAGTTGTTGTTTTTCAGTGCCAGCGAGAATCGTAAACATCTCAAAAAATGTGTCGGTGAACGAGGGGGAGAATGTAAACCTTTACTGTTTGGCAGTGGGTCGGCCTGAGCCCACCGTCACCTGGAAAGACCAGAAATGTAAGCCACCCCTTCTTGTTTGCTTCTCTTCTGATCAAGAGATTTCTTGTTTACGCCTTTACCTTTATCTCCCTGTATATACGTTCATCCCTGCCTGTTAAAGTCTTTACTTTGGTTCCCGCAGCCTCATCAGCATTCAGCTTCTGTCCACATCTTTATCCTCYGTCCCTGTGTCATCATTCTTAAATCCAGCTATTTAGTCTGTCTTCATCTTAAACTCATGCTCTCAAATTTCCCTGTGTCCCAATGTTTTGTCCCAAATAGCCGGCCATTATGCATTATTATCCCCACAGCACCACCCATAATTGTCAGCATCTGTCCTTGTTCACCCTGTCATCCAGTGTCACGGTTCCACCAGCCACTTTTAGCATTGAAACGGCCACTTTTTACCTCWGTCAGTGCTCGCAACCGAGGAGGTCCGAGGTGGAAAGCAGCTTGAAAGATGAAGTCAGATCCCTTTAATATGATCACTGTTGTACTGTATTTATTGTCATGCAAGGCAGGCATTCTTATTGTCTGTATTTTGTGAGTTAGCTACTTTGCATAGAAAACAACAAATCTTGAATGAGKATTCTGCTATAATGAATATATTTGTTCTAGTTTGTGTTTCATTATTATTTATTTATTTTTCAAATAATAACAGTGTATGCTAGCAGATATATAATAAATGGATATATAATAAAACACTACAGATTGGGTTCCAACAGCAGAAGCATCTAATTTGAAATAATGAAATAAATAAATAGACATTTTGTCATTTTTCAGCACAAATACAACTGAATAACAAACCACCATCAAAACCCATAACCTTATTATTTCTGTGACTTGGTGTCACTGAAAGCAGATGACAGAAAAACTTGGAATTTAAAAATCCTTTGGTCTATCTGCCTCCAACCTCTTCACTTCCAGTTTTTCCTCTGAAGATATGAAGGAAAACGGGTGGGAAATTAAATAATTCTCTTTATGTGAATTTTGTTCACTATCATATCTGCTCAGTCGATGCCAGATCAGGCTCGCACTCGAGGCACRTTTTTATGGGTCCACCCTCACTGGCTGAAGCCTGTGGCCTTGGGCCGACCCTGGGCCGAACAGATTTAGCCCCAGCAAGCTGAGGGGGCGTGTCAAGATGTCTGTCAGTCATTCTGTATCAGGAAAGATAGATGAAAAGGACTGTGAAAAGTTAGCCCTTTATAAAGACTGACATTTTCTCCAGAATGTTTGGCACCCGTTTTGTTGTAAATTTCTCAAAATGTGTTACAGTATTTTCAGTTTGTGTTTATTAGATATTTTAAGCCCTTTATTGTAAACACCAAGGGACGGTTTAACCTCACTAGTCCACTTACACCAGGGCTGCATTAGTTTTTTTTTTCCCATTCAGTTTTTTAATCCTGAAGTAAACATATTCTGTTCACTTTAAACTTTAAATTTTGAAACCCTTCTGACTACTTGTCACGTAACTATTAAATACTTAGTGCATTAAAATCCCTCAACTTGTTTTAATTTTATGTTATTAACTTTTCACAAAAGAGTTCCTAAACATATTGAGATAGTTCAAAACTATTGTTATTAAGCAGGGGTGCAACGATACAGAAAATTCACAATTCGGTTTGGTTCGATATTTTTTCGATACAAAAAAGAGAAATTTCCATGTCCCTTTTGACTTGTAATTTATTTAAATTAATTATGAACATTTGTTTAACCTCAAAAGTACAGTTTTTAAATTAAATGTTGCTGAAACAGCAAGTTTCTCAGTGGATCTGTGCTCAAAAATGCAGCCTAGGTGGAGTAGTCAAACACAGATCCACTGATCCTTCAACACAGAGCATCTTCAGAAGACATGATGATAAAGTAAATTTAAAAAATCTGTGTTGTTCGAGGCGGCACGGTAGCTCAGTTGGTAGAGCTGATGCCTCTCAGCAAGAAGGTCACCGGTTCAAATCCTGGTCCGGGGACCTTTCTGGGTAGAGTTTGCATGTTCTCTCCGTGCATGCGTGGGTTCTCTCCGGGTACTCCGGCTTCCTCCCACAGACCAAAAACATGACTGTTAGGTTAATTGATAACTCTAAATTGTCCCTAGGTGTGAGTGAGAGAGTGAATGGTTGTTTGTCTCGTGTGTCTATGTGTGACCCTGTGATGGGCATGCGACCTGTCCAGGGTGTACCCCGCCCCTCGCACTGTGACTGCTGGATATGGGCACCAGTGACCCACGCAACCCTGAAAAGGAAGAAGCGTGTACAGAAAATGGATGGATGGATGGATGTGTTGTTCGATACAAGTGTGTATTGAACCTAAAGCACTGTTCGATACGGGTACATGTATTGTTGCACCCCTAATATTAAGTTATTATTACAATACATTTCACTGATTGAAACAGATGTAAATGGGATCAGCTTTCTTCAATAAATACATATTTCAGCATAAAAAATATTAACCTTCTATTGAATAAATTGCTAAGAATATTACAGATCTTTTACATTCCGTGCACTGCAAAAACTTTCCATCTAAAAATAATAGTTAAAGAATTAACTATGAAACTATCAGATCTAAATGGCAAATGGACTGAACTTATAAAGCGATTTGTCAAGCTCAATTAGACCCAAAAACACTTTAAACTACAGTCACACACACATTCATACACTGTTGGTGGTAAGCTACATTGTAGCTACAGTTGCCATGGGGCACACTGACAGAGGCGGGGCTGCCATGCACCGGCGCCACTGGACCCTCTGACCACCATCAGTAGGCAAGGAGGGTGAAGTGTCTTGCCCAAGGACAAAACAACCGAGAATGGCTCAAACCAACTCTCCTAACCACTCCACTGCACCCGTAATTCAGTGAAATGATACCAATTGTACTTGGTATAACATCTTGAAATAAGAGAAAATTCCAGSCCAACAAGATTATTAATCTAACACAGTCTGCTCTTGCTTAAATCAGTCTTAAAACAAGATCAAAATTACTTTTTGTCTGGTTATAAAACTGTAAGACTTGATTAAATGGACAGTTTTTGCAGTGTAAGAATGGTTTCTTTAAATTCAGTCTAAGCTCAGTTTTTTAAACCTTCTTTTTGTTTTATATATAATCATTATTTGGATGTTTATCTATATATCTCAGTTCTTTTTTTTCTTTTGCCACTTCAGTAGAAAACAAAACTGAATGTTAGTTTCTTAATTTCTGCATCATCAGTGGCTTTTTTTATAATACTATAGTAATAGTAAATATCTCAGTTCTTAACTTAACAAAAATCAACATGTTTTTGAATCTTAGCTCTGTCTGACAGTAAAAACCACATCGACACTCGTTATCTAACTGTAGACAGAACTGTATGCATAGTATTTTCATTTTTGTTCAAATAAACGTGTGTTTTGCACACCGCCTTGCCAGATTAAAGCTCATTATTTTTGACAGAGCGGTGAGCTGAAAGTCAGAGTTAAAACATTTGTATCTTGCAGTGTACCGGATGACTTTTGGTTTGACTACAGCAGCAGCAACACAGATGAAAGGCAGCAGCAAGATAGCAATAATAAATAGGTCAGAGTGAACATCTACTCAACAGGCTGTAATTATACTGTTAGGCTAATAAACGAACAAGCGACTGTACTGCTGTACTTACAGGCAGCTCTGGGTTTGCTCAGAGGTCTGTTCCCCCTCCTCTCCCGTGTTTGTCCCCGTGTTTGCCGGCACATATTGTCCTTCTCTGCACATTTGTTGTTTGTGATGCTACACAATATAATACTGTACCTCAGGCAGGGACAAGCCCAGTGGAGATCACACACACACACACACACACACACACACCCACGGAAACACAAAAGCATACAGGAGAAAAAAGGGGAGGCATGCATCACTGCACACCTGCAACAGACACACACGTAGACACAACTTCACATCGCAAACTCTGTGCAGTTGTCCTTTCGTAAAAGCCTACAGCATTTCTCCTCTGTCAGCAGTAATCCTCCCTCTCTAGCCGCCCCCACCGTCTCACACCGCTTCCCTCCCCTCCCCTACCCCCTCATAACCCCTCAGCGAGCAAAGGATGAGATAGGGCCCACATTGCTATTCCATGAGAGTCTCTGCAACCAAGCCATCAGTTGCAGTAGACCAGAGGCGCTGGAGATAGGAGGGGGCTGTTGAGCCCAAAGAAACAGCAAGAAGCTGCTGGCTATCTGTCCCCATTACTCAGAGACTGCAGAGAAAAACTGCAGGGAGGGCAGAGAAGAGAGGAGGGTGGAACGCGTGTGGGGGAGGAGGTGGGCGGTTGTAACCAGGTAGTCGTGAATTGGCAGAAGGCAGAGCGCCTCAGAGGTCAATGGGGCCTGCCAAAAGTCTCTGACTCCTCTGCAAAACGTCTGCAGTTACCCGAGACCTTACATCCATGGAACAGTGTTACTGTTCCACACTATCATTTGCAGGCGCCGCCTCCTTTATCTTCACCACAGCACAGATAGCATACGGCTCGCACGTTCCCTCTCTACAGCATCCGTCATTGACCAACAGAGCAACAAGCAGGCTTTTTTGTCTCATAAAGTTTAAATATACCGGTGCAGCAYGGGCTTATCATTGGACACGCCATCTTTTAAAACAGACACACAGACTTTACAGAAATAAATGCCTGTAGCAGCAGAGGAGGACGTGCTCTGTGCTTTTATTGCAAAATAAAAGTGACTAAACAGAGGGGAATAAAGCACTTAAAAGAAATAACTAAATGTAAATTACCTTAACAAAAAATAAATACTTTGGTAAAAATTATTTTCACTGATAAGTTATAAAACTGCTCACAATAATCGGGAAAGTACTTTTACACTTGTGTAAACTGGATCCTAACCAAGTTGAGTAAACTGAGCAATTTAATCTTTTTAATTATTTTTTAAAGAAAATATGTAAAATGCTTTGCGTTCAATCAACTAGGCCTAGTGGAACCAGTTGACTTAATTTGACACGTTATGTTTTACACTTTTTTTAAGCGTGCATGATGAGTCATGCATAAATTTGGAATTTGT